TGTTAAGACGTGTGGACTGAACTAGAACTGCCTGTCCTGCCTTCAAAGAGTAACAACGGGCAGAAGGAAAGACCAAAGTGTCGATGGGACAGACCAAGACGGCCAATGTTGCACACGTCTCTTATGGGTATAAAAGCATTCGACTTGTCGGTCCGATTGCTGAGCCGTTGTGCATTGCTTTATTCAGTAGAAAGTTTTCTGGTAGACCTTGCTGGTAGGGTTTTTTTGTCTCTCCTCATTAGACAAATAAATCTGGCTGACTGGGGATTAAAATCTCTGAGAGGCACCCTGGCCCCTTTGAACATCTGAGGAAGTGTAACGGGCACCGCCACAACATGGCTGCCCTGGAGGCATGTCTCATCGCAAGGGGCAGGTGGCTGCCCCACAGGCAGAGCAAAGCGGCGGCGGAGGGCTCAGCCCAGTGAGGCAGCAGAGACTGAGGCCGACTTGGTGGAAATCCCAGGGATGGACGGATAAATAGAAAGCAGGCCCAAAAATGCTTTCCAGGGTGCGCAGACGCTGGCGTGCGAACCCCGCGAAGCGCGTGCTTTGCCACCATGCCGTGACACCAACACGGATGCGCCCGGGCACCCTGCTCACACCCGTTCCATGCGTCCATGTTGTGAGAAACTCATGGGACCACCGGTGGGAACCCCAGTGTGAGTCGAACCCTGATGCCCCTCGCTTGATGACCTTCCAGCGCCTCCCAGGCCCTGCCCACATAGGAAGACTCTGGCGCCAAGTCTGCGGTCCAGTCCCCTGCCGTCCGATGGCGGCTCTGCCCCTTTGTCACTTTCCCCGCTGGGACCGATCCAGCTTTTAAAAGGGGGACCTAGTCACATGGCCACACTGCTCATCCGTGGCTGATGGCCCGTTGAGTTGAAGCTTGCTTCCGTCCGTCCGTCCGTCCGTCCTTCCCTCACATATTAGCACACGCACGGTGTACAAGGTCTCTTCCACATCTTCTCCTCTTTAAACAGCTGCAAAGGGGGAGGGATTGCCGGGCAGCCTTCCCTCCATCCAGAAAACCTGCTGGGTCCTACTTGCACTCTCCCGAATGCCTCGCAGACTCTCCGAATGCCTCCCAATTTGGCTTCAATTTCCCAAGCTTGTCCCACCCTGACGGCCGAGCCCGCTCTCCAGCCGCAGTGTCTTCCCTCAGAAGGACAAATCTCCTGGTTTTTTTAAAATAACTGCCATGGAGAAGACGCACCAGTTCATTTTCTTCGCTCTGTTTTCCTTTTCTATTAACGGTGAGTGGCTCTCTCTCTCCCTCTCTCTCTCACTCTCTCTCTCAAGATAGTGGCTTTGGAACAGCACTTAGAAATCTCAAAAAATGGAAAAAACCTTTAACTTCCAATCAAGATTGTTCCTTTTTAAGGGGAAAAATGAGAAATGTATATAAGTAATGTTGATGTTAGGATTGCTTTCTATGGTATATTAGGAAGACCGGCCAGTTTGAACCTTAACCAAATCGGTGCCAGATCAGAATATCAATTCAATGCCGATCATATGGTCATGTCGTTAGGTAATATTAGTGCTGAAGAGGTGCTCTGTTAAGTTTTCGGGTGCTAACGTCACTGCAGGAGCCAGGTTCTCTAAACTACTCTTTAAAAAGTTGTTGAAACAGGTGCAAGGTGGAGAAAATTCTTCGGAGCAGAGATGTCTTCCTTTGCTGAATCTTCAGCAAATATTTGCTGAATATGGTTGAATATTGGAGTGTTTGATATTGTGTTAGTCCAGCCAAGATGCTTGATAATCCAGCCTGCAGCCTCCCTGAGATCCCCATCTAGTTCCACTGAATTCCAGGGGACCAAGCCGTCTGCAGCTGAAATCCTCCAGCTCTCACCATTTCCCCTAAAACCCGTAGCTCTTCTCGCACGCTATTATTCAAGACAAGTTTTGTTGACAAAATATATTTGCTGTTTTTTTTTTTAAGAGAGGGTTTTGCTGTTAAAATAGCATAAGCGTTTGGGGAAGGGAGGGGCTGAGGAGATGAGGGCCAAGAGAGGCTGAATAGGCAAAAATGAGGAACTCCACCTTGGACCCGGAAAGGCATTTCGCCCTTTTTAATCCTTTTGGACTTCCAAGGCAGGTGCTTAAAATGAGGGTCCATTCGCAGTTGCATTTAGCATACCACCTTGGTATTATAACGCTCAGGAGAAGTTATTTAGGCAACATGAATAAATCATGTTCTATAGAGGTAATAACTGCAGCATTCAATAATTTAAGCAGTCAGGTTCTCCTAAAATTCTACGCCGATGGTAGAGGGAGCAAAAGTGGAACAAACCGATGGCAACTGGCAGGTGCTTGATTGTTTTGAACAACAACATGGACCCTACCAGTCCCCCTCTGGGTGCCCTCCATGTGTTGGACTACACCTGCCATCATCCACAGCCAGGCAGGCATCCTTGGCCGGATGGCTGGGTTATTTGGAGTTCTGTGTCGTGAACCAGCCTTGTCAAAGTGGAAGGCTGAGAAGAGCGCGTTTCATTTCATTTCGTAAAACTGCAGGGCTGGCAATTCTCCTTGCCAACTTCCATGCGAGGAAATCGATTCCATTTCTGAAATGACCACGCTGCTGTTAACGTGGTCCGGGGTTAGAAACGGTAAACGCTGATTGTCAGCTCTGTCTCAGGCCTTCATCTGAATTATTAGGTATTAACTCTGGCTGTGGAACTGAAACCGCTGCAGAAAAAGTGAGCTGCAGGAGAAAGGTGCCTTTTGGCCATCATTAGAGACACGGATGTAGAAAGCACGTCTTTGCGGTGACTCTTTCCTTTCCGTGTTTCATTGGCCGCTCGGGCAGAACGGCCCCACAGGTGACCAGTGAAGGAAAAGTTATTAGTCCGCTGTGAATAAACCCATCACACCTCTCCAGAAGGGAAGCAAAGCAAAAAGGTAAAATTAGAAACTGTCAGTGTCTAGCACCGATTAGTAAACTGGAGTGTGAAAAATGACGGAACTTTGTCCATCCGGTGGTTTTGTTTTTATATCAGATGGATCCAGGACTGAATTTAATAAACGGGAAAGGGCCTTTCATGCTGATTCAGGGACAATATGAATTTTCACCATCTCCAAAGCATCGATTACCTCTATTTGCCAAGCCAATGTATTGCTGACATCTAGTGGCATGACACTCTTTGCCACAAAACAGGAACAAAATAATGTTTGAAACTGGAACGAGGCAGATTGCTTGCATGCTGACTGACTCGAAGGCTGCGGCATTTGGAGAGCAGCGAATGGTGGGAGGGTTGGTGTGTGGAGCACTCTGCTCGGCGGGATGGGCAGGACGTGGCGGAAGCAGCTGGGAAACCCTGGATAGGAAAGCAGTGGGTCCGGAGGGGGCTGAGCCCCTGAGAAGCATTTGGAGCCAGATGGGACGAGGCGCTGGTGCTGCCCCCCTGTAACGTCTGCCTTCCAGATCTCCTGTTCAGCGGGATGCCGTTTTCCCTCACGCTGGAGGTGTTTATTAGTGAACCCCTTCAGTTTGAAACTTCTTGCTCAAAGGCTCAGGTTGGAAGGGGCAAAAATCCTCGGTTTGGTATTTCCTTGCTCATTTCTATAAACCCCGAGCTTCTAGGGGGAAGGAAAGCATCCAGTGTAAACCAGGGAAGTGAAGGAAGAACAGTGAAGGCATCGTAAGCCCCTGAATGTTCCAGACGGAGTTGATTCCGGCCTGACCGCACTCGGGGGCTGTGTCACGAGGAACCGAGCAGAGCAGTCGAGTCAAGAACAGACAGTATAGGTGAGATGAGTAACTACATGGGCCGAAGAGGACCCCAGCTTGCATGAAGTGGACACGGGCTTAACATTTTACGCATGGCTACAAATGTAGAAATCATTGTGAAAATGTAAATAGAAATATAGTTCATCTTACCCTGATAAGAAAAACTGCCCACGTAGTCTGTGCCTTGCTCGGCCGATGGTTGATGGGCAGCTTGGAGGCTCTTCCTACTGATACATCCTCATCTTTAATCCAGACTTGGACAATCCTTCAAAGGAGGCCTTCAGAGTGGAGGATGGTCCTCGGCGATATAAGAGCAGGGTCTGAAGAGAGCCCGAGTCGAGCACAATCCAAGAAGCAGAGCCTTAGCAGAAGGCCACTCGCCCAGTTCGTAAGAACTTCAAAGAGGCAGTCCTCTAAATTCCTTTCCCAGTTGAATCTCCTCATGTAGCGATCAATCGGACGGCCTTCTTTGTGGTGGCACCGCATCTCTGAAACCCTGAGAGACCAGTGCAAAGAAGAAGTGAGAACAGGAAGGCCAGGTTGCAGAGCCCTGGGATGTGAAATGCAGATGTTCCAGCAACCTGGAGAGCTCAGCTCTTACATGATGAGGTCTCACAGGCCTCACCCCAGGCAGCTCTGGCAACAGGCCAGATCTTTGTTCTCAAGGAGGACTGGCTGCTTGTTGCAGGTCTTGAGGTGCCTGCCTTGTCTCCAAGTGGAGACCCCTGGCATCCTCTGAGGCTGGGGGCATCCCCTTTGGACACTATGCCCCCTTTCACCCAACGCAACAGCCCACCATGGCTTGTTTTAAAGTTACTTGAGGGTTGTCCAGCCCTCAGACAATCCCTGTGGCCGGGGTCCACATGTCTTGACAAACCTCAGCAAGCCACAGCCTGCAGGTACCCAGCAGAAGTGGTATCGGTGGGTACCCGGCAAGATGCAACAGCCCCAAGGGTAGAGTAGGCCACTCTGGCTGTTGTAACGTGCGAGCAGGTCCTCTGGAGGAGCCACCACCCTCTGAGGACCCAGGGAAGCCTCTTCGTGGACCCAGCTCGTGCGGGGGCTACTGCTGGTGTTGAGGGACACAAAGTCTTCAGGTGGTGGAGTCCAGTCCTCTCAACAGCAGTCTGGCTCAGGAGGAAACCCTGGCCGGCATCCCATAATATAACCATTGCTCTACACACAGGGACTGGGATGCTTTCAGACACAACCCCACGGGAAGTGTGCCTCCACCGTGTGATGCGCTCGGTTCTTTCTGGTTGCAGGAAGCGACACGGCCGACGCGGAAGAGAGGCTGATGAACCACCTGCTGAACATTTCCCGCTACAATAACTTAATCCGCCCGGCCTTCAACTCCTCGCAGCTGGTCGTTATAGAACTGCAGGTTGTTCTGGCCCAGCTGATCAATGTGGTAAGTCGAACGACTCTTCCTTCCCGGGGGAAACGGAGATGACAAAGAAACTCCAGAAGGCAAATCTCGGCATAAACTTTTTACAAGTGGCAGAACTCTAGTCTTCCTCCCAGATGCCAAATACCCAAAGCAGTGTCTCTCCCTATACCAACTTGCCCGTGTTGGTCTTAGAAGATCTTAGAAGTGCCCCCCTAAATTCCTTCACCAGGGAAATCTTTTCTCGCAATTGGACGCAGGGCCTTCTATGTGTTGGCTCCACATCTCTGGAACGCCCTTCCTGTTGAAGCTTTCTTGGTGCTGCCACGCCTCTCATTTCAGCCCCACAGCCCTGGACTCCTGGCTACGCAGAAAAGCTGAGCTTTGGGGGAAGGGTCTGCAAGCGGACCTAAATGACACAGATGAAAAGCCATGGAAAGACTGAGACGGACATACGCTATTAGAAATATGTCCTGCAATCTAGGAAACATGGATCAAACAGTCCAAAAGAGAGTAGTCATTTCATTTCGTAGAAATAAATATATTTGGGGAATAAGCGGGGAATAGAAAAAGCTGGAATATTAACTGGGGGATTTATAAGAAACAACACAAAGTACCATTTAAACTATTTAGTTCAATATCTTCGAGTATCTGGCCTTGCAAACTGGTGATAGATTTCTCTTCTAATTTATTTATTTGCAGTTGTCTTTTAAATTTGCATGGTGTCACCCAAGGATTGCTCAATTATCTTTCCGGCTTTATCCGCTCTAGCAGCCCAGCCCTTTGCACCCTGAGCTGCTCAGCGCCGTCACTTAAAATATGTTGGACTATTTTTGCAAGAGGCAAAACGGGCATTGATGGGAGCCGCCGCCAGCTTCGTTCTTAGCGGATGGGGTTATTAAATGACACTGGCCTTTCTAAACACACAGGTCGTGTTGCTGACACTTTTATTCCGTTTCATCCAAATCCTATAAATTTAAAGAAAGCTTTGACTGCACACACAACGATGTGATAGATACGAGGACAGGTTGCTGGAAGGCTGTGTGGTCTATTATTTATCTTCAAGTGCTTTTGGATCACAAAGGGGCAGGTGGAAAATGTCTGCTTGTTGCAAAAAGCTGGCAGGGAGTCGTTTTCCTCTGCGGCCTTTTCCCAGATGGAACGGCAGCTTGTTCTGGGAGGGGACATAAATATCTCTGCGGCCGAATACCTAAGACCCCGTTTTTGCCACTGGCATCTCCAGTGAGAAGGAATTTGTGGTGGAAAGGACATCTTGTGATTGCAGCCATGAAGGGCTGCCGCCAGACAAATTTATTTATTTGGAACATTTGTGTGCCATCTATATCCATTGCAGGAACTCTGCAAATAGGCACAGTCAGGCTAGATCGATTGATCGATTGATTGATTGTATACCATCTGTCCTTCCTCCTGCAAGGAACCCAAGGTATCCTGCACAGACTCCTCCTCTGTGCTATTTTATCCTCACAGCAACCCTGCGAGGTAGGCCACTGACCCAGAGTCACCCAGAGAGCCTCATGCAGGGTCGGGGCCAGAACACGCATCTCGCAAGCCCCGGTCCAGCCTCTCAGCACCGCTTCCCACAGGCGACAGCGAGGGACAAACAGCCTTCCCCTTTGGCACAAGCGACTTCGTTTGCTCCTGTGAGAGGGACGGACGTCCAGCCAGGCTCCCTGGGGGTTTTAGGCTGATGGGTGCGAACCGCCGGGGGTGCCCCCACAGCGTGGCTCCAGCGGGGGTGGCCCGTCCCACGACGGCCACCTTCGGGGCCAGGCTTGTCAAAACTGAGCGAAGGAGCGGCTGGGAGAGAAGAAGCGCGAGGACCAGGGCTAGGAAGCAGGAGAGCAGAGAGGGTCTGAAGCCAAGGCTCCTTAAAACAATTCTCCTGAAGGGGGCAGGGAGGGAGGAGCCCCACCGTGGCTCTGTGGGGGCCACGGGAGGTAACTGTGGGTGCCGTGGTAGTGGAGGAACAGGCTTTTGGTAACTTGGAGTCTCAAGGTGCAACAGGGAAACCCTGAAATTCCTAGACTCCTTGCACCCCTGTGCCGGTCTACCAGAAACCCTAAAGTTTCCTGCCCTATCAAAACCAATCCCTTTCTCCTCTCCTCTCCTCTCCAGCCTCCACCCCTTTTGGGTTGAGATTCCGCCATTAATTCTCTGATTTCTACATTTTCCTTTAAAAGCTCTCCCCCTCTACTGGCTAGCAAGATAGCCTGGAGCCAGGCTCATCTGGCAAGCTCAAGAAGATTCTCTAATCTAATTATTTTTATTTAATGCAGTTTACATCCAAGCCTCATTTGAAACCATCCAGTCTCTCTCTGTCGTTTCTTAATGCACCTCGGAGTGCATGAACCTTCCCATTCATCCAAATAAATCCACCCAGCAAAATGTGCAATTCTAGAAACTGCACTGGGACCACTTTCCAACAAGGACTGCACAACTGAGTAACACCTGTGTGTTTCGTAAGTTGTCCCCTTCCCAGGATGACATTATAGAGATGAGGATGCTGTTGTCTTCCTGGCACTGCTATCAGGCTATCCGTGGCGTCCAGTCCTGACCACCCATCGCTCGGTTCCTTCTTCCCAGACATAAATATCATAAAGGGTTTTTCTGCATGCAAAAATATAAGAATGAAATGGAATCAGCTTTCCATTTTTCCAGGTTTCTTGAGTATAATGGGATTCAGTGAATGCATTAAGGCAGCCCTGCCGGATCTGTTCTGAGGATAAAATGGAGAGGAGGCAGAGGGATACCCAGGATCACAAACTTCTTGGGTTCTTTGCAGGAATAAAAAGGATTGTTGTTGTTGTTGTTGTTGTTAGTCGCGAAGTCGTGTCCGACCCATCGCGACCCCATGGACAACATTCCTCCAGGCCTTCCTGTCCTCCACCATCCCCCGGAGTCCACTCAAGCTCACATCAACTGCAATAAAAAGGATATAAATATAAAAAATAACTAGACGGATGGACAGGCAGGCAGGCAGGCAGATGTCTTTCTGAAATCAGGAGCACCAGCTAAGGGGCTGGAATGATTGCAAACTGCACGAGCTTTTCCACACAAAGCATCAAACGCGCTTTCACTATTCTCTGTTTAGCGATGCTTATGGGATTCTCCGGATGACATTCAAGTTTTCCTTCTGTGTCCAACTGGCACTTTAGGCAAGGTTTGGTTTGGGGTTTTTCTTACAGCAGGGAAATTGTGAGCACAAAAGCAACTCTTTTTTCCACCGGTGTATTTGCACTATTCCACTGTACCACAGCGCTCCCTAGAGGTTATGCCATGGAAAATCGGAGGGAAATACTGTTAAGGTGATGCTGGAATCTCAGTTTGGCAAACAGTGATAACAGAGGATTAGCAGCCACATTGGTGAATGGAGTCAAACAAGTGCTTTCCTTTGCTTTCATAAATGTCCCGTGTCTTTCCATTAATTCAGAACGAGCGTGAACAGATCATGACCACCAACGTCTGGCTAAATCAGGTAAGAATCCAGTGACCGCTTGATCTCCAGTGGTATATGATCTCCAGTTGTATACCGGCCAAGTGGAGCCGGCTGGAGCTGGGGGTCAGACTAGATGGCCCAGGAGACACCTTCTGACTCACTCTGTTTCTGTGTTTCTATATATCCAAGCCTGTATGCTCAGATCGGAATTTTGTAATGATGTCCTCATTGTTTTAAAATACACTTCTTCAACTTGGTGCCCTCTGGTTTGTTGGACTACAACTTCCAGAATTCCTAGCTGGGGGATTCTGGTAGCTGTAGTCCAACTCATCGGAAGGGGATGGAATTGGAGAAAGCTGCAATGCAGTAATTCTATGCGCGCTTACCTAAGCATGAGACCTACCAAACTTGATGGAACTTACCTCTGATTAGATATTTATGGCATCTTACTGTAAGGAATTCATTATGAATCAAGCAATTACAGATTTACGGGGAAAAATATTTGTCACTTGTTAGAATATTTTCTCCTGGTACTGCAGTAGTACAGTCCTTTATCATATCACATGCGAGGTTTTAATAACATCAACGTTTCCAGTTGCATGTGCACAATTCCACCCAATTACCATTTTAGCATGTTGCACAAGAAGCGAGTGTGCAAGGCAATTTCACACTGCAATTGTGGTTGTGTTCCACTTTTAGGAATGGACGGACTACCGTTTATCCTGGGAACCTTCTGAGTACGAAGGCATAAAAAAGCTGAGGATACCGGCCAAGAAAGTCTGGCTGCCCGACATCGTGTTGTATAATAAGTAAGTCTGTTTCCTTCCAGCGTGTAGAATTGGGAGCCCAAGAGCTCCTGCCGAAACGAGCAAACACGGAGCACAGAGACCTCCCTGGGGCAGAATGGTGGCATGGGGCAACAGGGTAATGCCCCTCTGCCCACCCCACAACCCCAGGCGGGCTGACTACCCCTCCCAGCTGTGTCTGCTTCTTGTCTTTGAAACTCTTGCATGTTAGTCTAGTGGGTGGAGTTGTGTCTCATTTGGTCCATGGATGAGCTTGGCTGGATCATGAGCCAGACCAGAAAACTGTGGTCTCCAGATGTTGAGCTTCCATCAGCCCCTGCTGGGACGAGGAGGATGGGGGTATTTATTTTATTTCGATTTATATCCTGCCTTTTTCCTCAAAGGACTCCAGGCAGCTGACATCATTCTCCTCCTCCATCTTATCCCCACAACAACAACCCTGTGAGGTAGGTTGGGCTGAGAGTCTGTGACTGGCCCAAAGTCCCCCAGTTGGCTCCATGGCCGGTATGACTCTGACAACATCTGGAAAGCCACCAATTCCTTATCCCTGAGCTAATCAAAGCTTGTGGAGGATGCTTGACACTTAGATCTTATTAATAAATATTCAAGGCAGCTTATGATCAAAATAAAACAATTTGGGATTATTTTAAACAATGATAAAGGCTTTGTCATCATTTCCTTCTTTCCCAAGTAATCTACTTTCCATGAAGAACTCAGGGAAGTTGTCATAAACATCCTGATGTCATAGCACCTGGAATGAGCCACAAAGCTGATCCAGAGGGAGGCTGGGGAAGCATTGCCCTGTCCCCGAATTAGCTTTGTCATGTCATCAGGTAGCCCCATCTGAATGGTGAGGTGGTGTTATCAAAAAGCCAGCTCAGAGTGAGGGCAGAAAGCAATGCCCTCACTCCAAATGGGCATCAGGATGGGAATTGTACCATCTTATTTGCAGCACCACTCTCTGAAAGGGGGGGGGCACATTTTACACAAAAATAATTCTCACATTAATTTTCTGTGCCAATGCCTAACACATCTGGCTCCTATAAAACGCAACTTCCCCCACATCATCCCTCCCACAGCCTTCCCATTCATGCTCTTGGTGCTGAATTTGGAACAGCACGAACCCCCAAAACGAGTAAGTTCTTTCATCATCCAGAAAAGCCCCGAGACATAGAAACATAGAAACAGAGCGAGTCAGAAGGGGTCTCCCGGGCCATCTAGTCTGACCCCCGGCTCCAGCCGGCTCCGCTCATGACATGCCCACCATTACTGAGACGTTATTGAGCGAAACAACCAGGCTGCCCCTCGTGCGATGCCAAACTCACAAAGTTCTGTACCACCGATGTCACTCTCTCTTGTTGGCTTCTCCAGCGCTGACGGCACATACGAAGTTTCCGTGTACACGAACGTGATCGTGAAAAACAACGGGAGCATCTTCTGGCTGCCTCCCGCCATCTACAAGAGCGCCTGCAAGATCGAGGTGAAGCACTTCCCCTTTGATGAACAAAACTGCACCCTGAAGTTCCGGTCGTGGACTTACGACCACTCCGAAATCGACATGATTCTGAAAACGGGCTCGGCCAGCATGGACGACTTCACGCCCAGTGGCGAATGGGACATCGTCGCTCTTCCCGGCCGCCGGACAGAGAATCCCCTGGATCCAAACTATGTGGACGTGACGTACGACTTCATCATCAAGCGGAAGCCCCTGTTTTATACCATCAACCTCATCATCCCGTGCGTGCTTATCACCTCCTTGGCCATCCTGGTGTTCTACCTGCCGTCGGACTGCGGGGAAAAGATGACGTTGTGCATTTCCGTCTTGCTCGCCTTGACCGTCTTCCTGCTTCTGATTTCGAAAATCGTCCCGCCGACCTCACTCGATGTCCCGCTGATCGGGAAGTACCTCATGTTCACCATGATACTGGTGACGTTCTCCATCGTCACCAGCGTCTGCGTGCTGAACGTCCACCACAGATCTCCCAGCACCCATGCGATGCCCCCGTGGGTGAAGGTGATCTTCCTGCAGCGGCTGCCCAGGTTCCTCTTCATGAGACGCCCGGAGAATAACTCGGCCAGGCAAAAGTTGCATGGCCACAAGAAGAGTAAAGCGCAGGCGTTCTGCCACGATCCCTCCAACCTGCACAAGGGCTCCACCTACTTCGTGAACACCGCGTCGGCCAAAAAGTATGACCTGAGCTTGACGGAGAGCACCAACCACGTCGGCAGCCATCAGGACGTGAGGCTCCGATCGTCGGCAAAGTTTTCTCCTGAAGTCCAAGAAGCCATTGATGGTGTCAGCTTCATAGCAGAACACATGAGAAGCGAGGACAAGAACGAGAGTGTAAGTGCCAGCAAGAGACCTCTTGGTTTGCTCCCCAATCATTTATTTCTTAGATCTCTGCCATAATTTGATCAATTATACCCACCATTATCTTTGCCTTGCCTCTTTTCCTCCAAAGAACCCAAGAACACCATTCATGCTCGCCTTCTTCCCCATTTTATCCTCACAACAACCCTGTGAGGGCTGCCTGTGGGCCAAGCTAAGATTCCTCATTCCTGCACAAACTTTTAATAATGACAACCAACAACAGCTTGCGATTACATTTATGGAGCTGGGACTGCAAACCTATGAACACTTTGTTGGGTGTCAGCTCAGTTGATCTCAGTGGTTTGTCCGTAGAGGTTCAAATTCTAAACCACACCGGGCTTAAAGAAAACCCAACATGGCTTCCACTCTGAAAATGGCCCTGGAGTCAAGCTTGCTGGGTTTTCTCTTGCTTTACAGCTGCCTGGTCGCTGTGGGAGGCCAGATGCTGGCTGGACCAGAAGGAGCTTTGAGCTAATCCAGATGAACTCTTCTTTAGCTCTTCTCGGACAGTCTCTGGTAAACACGTCCCCTGGGACGTATGGTATGGCGAAGCCCTTTTCTGACTCTGAAGCCTCAGACTGTGTCCCGGATCATGTATTTGCTGGCATTTAAAAAGTGCAAGAACCACCCAACATAATATTGATGTAGTAAAACCATGCAAGACAGGGAGAGTGGGCGAGGAAAAGGTCGGTGGAGGGTGCGGGAAGAAATATTCTATCGGCACTTTATGAAATGACTTTAATTTGTTTATTCTTCCAGGTCATTGAGGATTGGAAGTACGTTGCCATGGTAGTGGACAGGCTGTTCCTCTGGATATTCGTCTTCGTGTGCGTTGTGGGAACTGTCGGGTTATTCCTTCAGCCGCTTTTTCAGAACCATTCGCCGGCTGTGAGCCCGTAAACTGGCTGGATCCAGCACCGGAGGGAGCTCACTCACAGGCTGGGCTGGATCCTGCCCTGAGTTCCAGACGCATAATGCCCAAATCCAGTTATTTGCTCAGATCGTTTTAATGAGTGTGTGCGTGTGTGTGTGTGGGGGGGGGGGGGAATCCCATAGGGTGTCCTTTCCTAACGTGGGCCTTTTCCCACCCCCATCTTGGGGTCTTGTGGAGCATGGTGCGTTGAGCAAAAAATACCCATGAAGCCCTTGTAAATTCGACCAGTCAGGGATCACCAAAGGCCCTGTCTCACATGGTCTCCTGATTACAATCAAGCTCGGATTCTGGTGAACCTCCAGCGCTGTGAAGAAATTCCCTCTCTCTATGCAACTTGAAACTCGTTGAAATGTTCGACAGACTTATCTGTTTGGCCTTTCCGGCAGAATATATCTCTTGAAGTGTTTGGTTTTTATTAAGTTCATTAAAACACGTTGTCTTCAGGAAATATGCTTACTATGTACACTCACAGAAACAGAGAGTTGCAGGATACATGATCGTCAGGCATAATATCTTGATGCTATAAGGATGAGAGCGGTCCAGGAGCTTTCTTACAGCCTCCTTAAGTGAGATGCTGCGTGGAAGGGCTGTTAGCATCCTAGCTCATTTTTCCCGATCACTCTTAATTTCCTTAAGTAGTTTCACATAATTGTCTTCTTTCAATGCAGTGCATTTAACTGTAAGAAAAACCCCCAAATATTTAACCTTTTTAACTATTTGAAGATCTACTCGTTCCGTCAAGGTCATTTTCTGCTACAGTGTAAGATTTTTCACTAGCAATTTTGTCTTTTCGCTGTTTCTTTTCATCCCAGGAACTTCTGGTGTATTGGACTACACCTCCCATCATCCCAAGCCAGCAGAGAAGCATGTGGGTGGTGGGAGTTGTAGTCCAAACAGGTCTGGAGAGCATCCCATTGGAGAAGGCTGCCTGAGGGCGCAGCATTTCATAGGAAGGGAGCACGGAGAGAAGGGGCTGGGTGGATGGATGGGGCACAGACAGACAGACACAACCGGGAGGACGCGTAACTGGTTGGGGCTGGAGGTGGGAGTTGGGGCTGGAGAGGTTGAGGCTGCAGCTTTAATTTTTAAGCCTTTTAAAGGGTCTTTTATAGAAATGGGAGGACCTGTATGCGTACCATATGCCTACCTGGATCCAGGTGCGCCAGGACTGTCTATTAAATATACATTTTTGCGGAAATGAAGCCCTTCTTGCACACAGTAGCGCTTGCTGCCCCAGCATTTCTGTCCTGGAAAAAGAGGGGCTTTTTCAGCAAAAAAAGCAATTGCACCAAGACAGATGGGAAGGAATTGCTCAGACAGACACCCGCCTCAGGTGCGCCCCTGACACCCCCACGGAGGGGACAGATTTAGGGCAGGAATTTTGGCCCTCTTATAGCCTGAGGCCAAAAGCTTTTTTGGAGCCGCTCTAGGGAAGTTCCTTCCAGTGGGGGCTGGGCAGATCAAAGGCAGGTGGGGCAGAATTTAGCAAAACTTCTGCTCCCAAAACTCCAGAGTCTGGCAGCGCTGTAGAAACTTTGCAAGCCGGCAAACCTTGGCAGATGCACATCAGCCGTTCTGGGTGTGTTTGGCGCGTGCAAAAGTGGAGGAAGCATTCGATGGAAGGGCAGCCTGGGAAAGGGGGCGGGCAGGAGCGATGGAAGCAGCCCTTGGAAGAAAATGGAGAGCTGGGTTTGGCGCTCAGGTCAGTCGGATTTGGGACTGGGGTCTGGGGTTCGACACCCCCCGTGGTCCCTACTCTCAGGTAAGTGGTTTAGATGTGCAAAGGCTCAGATGAAAGTGCACCAGAGACTCCAACACTCTTTGAAACGTGAACTTTCTTTTTACACGTGTGCTTGAATTTACTTCCAAGGAAGTCCAGATAGAAACTTCCCAGGGCTTCTTTACATTAAGCTTTTTTTACCAAGACTTTGGCTTCCAGACTCTTGGTAGGATTAAGTCAGGCTCCTTTGCACACACCCCAAGCGTCTTCTTTCTCTGCCTTTCCGTGTGTTCCGTTACACAACCACAAGTTGCCGATGCTGTATGGCGGAACTGTGAAACACAGGAGAACAATTTCCATATGATACCAGACTGCCCTCAGTTAAAAAAAAATCCACCGAAATGGTTGCAGAGTAATTGAAGAAGAGGATTAAGGTGCAACGCACAATCACAAATCCTTTGCTTCGTCATAGATATCACGACAACTCCACCCTTTCACCAAAGAGGATCCCGAAGTGACTCATATATCAGTAAAACAGAAAAGACAGGCGTTGGCTCTGGCATTACATCTAGAAGACTCAACACAAAAGGAAAATGGATGGGGAAGGAAGAGGAAAACTAACCAATTGGGGAGCCAAAGCAAAGTTCTTACTGCAACCAGTTGCCGTGCATCGAACAGGCGGGGCCTAAAACCGCCAATCTTTTGGTTGAGCCAACGCAATGCCCTCCTCTCTCTCTCTTCTCTCTCTTTGCTGCGGCCCTTTGGAGGGGAAGCAGCTTGTTGAACTGACTTCTCAGCAGAGGGAAAGGTTGCCCCCTCTATCCTTCTCAAATCCTGCTGCAGCCTAAGGAATGATGCTTGGTCCTTCTTTTAGCAACCATAAAAGCACACAGGGCACCTCCCGACCGTCCTGGCCTCCAGTCAAATAAACTTGTGGGCTGCAGAGTCTTTGGAGGAGAACAATATATTCTTAGCTAACTTGGTAATCCTCTGCTGAGAAGCTGACAGAATGCCTCATCGTGCCATTATATGCCCTGAGGAGCCGGGGAGAGGGCAAATTTTAAACTAGCGTCCAAAAGGCAACAGCACTGGTGACCATGCAGACTTCAGTGCAGGGTTGCCAGAACTAGGGAGCCAACACGGAGAAGGCCCTGCCTCCTCCGAGGCTCCCTTGCAGGTAGCGCTTGAAGGAAGATGTTAGACACTGATGGTTGTGTCTGGATATATTCGGGGCAGGACAGACACCCCGTTGTGGTTTCAAGCCCTGCAAAGTGTTGGAGGCTCAGCCCTGCTCAGTTAGATCCATCTGATTCCGTCGTTATTTATTTTTTGGCGTCAGGCCAAGACCTTTTTCTTTAAACAATATTTTAATAACTGTTAATATTATTTATTGGTTTTAATTTCTACAGCCAGGGTGAATCCGGATTTTAATATGTATTATTTATATGCTTGTTTATTTATTGTGTTGGAAGCCGTCCCAAGGCTCATGCGAATGGGACGGCATACAAAAATGCCAAATAAAAATAAAGAGGAGGCAGAGATGGGCAGAGGCAGGTTCAGGGTTATTCAGTGAAGAATCTCAGCACAGCATGAGAACCAGCCCACATTAGAAAAGGAGGGAGGCATTTCAGAGCAGCGGGAGGAGGAGATAGAAATGAAAATAGCAGGCGCCAGTAAGGAGACCAGTTACGAATTGCCCACCGTTCCCCCTGGGGGAATCACCCAGACGAGGGAGTCCGAATCTTCTGCAAGGGCAGGAAGGAGGACCAGTCCTGGCTTGGATTCAGCTCTTACCAGCATGACTGCTCTGAAACCTTTTAATAATTGAATAATACTTTGAGCATTACTGTCTGTAACCTATTGATATTATTAATAATTTAATAATAATTGTTTTAATAAAAGGATCAGGCTGCTAATGTTTCATCTGAGTCCGCTGGAGAGGAAAAGAGGGAAGGAGAGACCAGCTCATGATGGCAGCCCAGAAATGCTCTTAAATGTTCAGAACTTCTGGTCCTCGTTATTATTCTGGCTGCTGCAATTCTGCATAAGCTGCAGGTTCTGCACAGCCTGCAAGGGCCGCCCCACGCAGAGCGCATTGCAGTAGTCTAACCCGGAAGTTAGCGGGGTGCAATTATTGAAACTGGAAGCTATCCCTGTCCAGCTGGTAGCTGGAAGAAAGCACTCCATGTCACCGAGGCAATCAAAGCTTGCAGGTGGTTCTTAGATAGCCTATTTGGAAATGGCACAATACTGCCTGTTCTCCTCGCTGGTTTTCCTTCCCATCCTCCTCTGTGACAGCATGATGGGCCCTGGTTGCTGAGGATGAGCACCCCAAACTCCAAGCTTCAGCCAATATCCCGGACTCCGCTCCCTTCCTCCTTCCTCTTCTGCTCTCTCCACGGCACGGAGCTCCATCACCCTCCGGGGCCAGGGCTGGATCATTCACAAATGGCTCCAAAGAGCTCCCCTCTGAAGCCCACAAGAAGCTGAGCCTCTCCCTTGGGTGAACGTCCATTCCGCGCATGATTCAATCACCCCATTTTCATTAAGTCAGAACAGAGATGCTTACTGGCACCGAGTCCAGAGAAAGGGCTGGATCCCGCCATCGAGCCAAGCGCAAGCGCTCTCTGCCTTATCAGATCACCAGCTGATGCATCCGGGAGCCGTGTGTGTCGGGTTTTTTAAAACACCCGGTGCAGCGAAGTCCAAGGAGCACTTTGTGCCCACACCCTTTGGCTGATGTTCTCATCTCTTGCCGTGGGCAGAGCTGTAATTACGGAGGGAGAGAGGAAGACACACAGAGAGCGTGTTTCCAGCTCAGAACTATGGATCCAGGTCCCGCTGTCTGCACATTCCCATAACTGCTTCCAGCAGAAGCTAAGCTGTCTGTTTTTGCTACTCAGCTTTTTTGCTACTCAGCTTTGCTACTCAGCCAGTGCTTCCTGCTCTCAGCTGATCCGATCTTGGGCAGGGGCTCTGTGGACGAGTGACAAATTCATAGCGAAATGGGGAGAATTCCAAAGCTGCCTCTGGCTTTTGCTATGTTCTTCCTTCTTCAAGGTGAGCCTTCTTTCTTCTGCGCTTTGGAGGAGAGGGTGGGAGGTCGTTAAAAGCCAGAAGTCACTTCCTGCCTGTCTTGGTTCTGAAAAGATGTGAAGTTCGTAGGTATCAGAGTAGCACGTCGTAAGGGTCATATTTGCTTTGATAACTCCCCTGCACGGTTGTTGTTGTTTTTTATTTCTCCTTTGCAAAACTGGTTTGGAATACTAATCAGGGCTTATCATTCTTCAGAAACTGAGAGAAAAAAAGACAGGGGAATTGGCAATGCGTGTTTGAATCAACAATGTGGCAGAGCCAGAAATAGTAAAATCTTTGGAATAAGTGCACTCATCTATATGGTAAAATGATCACGTTCCGGGAGGCGTGAATGTTCTAGTCCTCAAAAGGACTGTCTCCAAAGAGCTTCAATATTTATATATACATCCAGTATGAAAAATTCCCTGCCTTTGTTTGTTTCTTTTGGCCAACCGAGGGGGAATTGAAGCTGTCTCTTTTCCAAGCAAGCGCGTGGATTTATTCTAAATCTTAGACAGTCTGAGCTTTGGATGCTAATTTTCATACTTATGTGAAAGCTACGGGGAACAATTGTGCTTAAGATATTTTTACAGAGCAGACTTGGGGGAGCCCTGAATTGCCCAAATGCTGTGTGTTTGTTATATGTTTGTTATACAAAGCAGCCCCGGGGGGATTGCCACAGGTCCCCCAAGCGCCAAAATGTTACCTGTGCAAAGAGTAAATAATACCTGAGATTCTAAAAGTGACGTTCATAAAAGGCGACCTACTCCTGGCTCATCTGGCGTTGCTTGGGAGCTGCAGATTTCCCTTCCTGTGGTCCTGGGTTTGATCCCCAGTTTTTCCAGGAAGGGCTCAATCCAGATTCAGAGGATTGCAATCCGGAGACAAATGTGAGCTCAGACCCTCCACTGCATTGCAAGCGATGTCAGGACTTCGACCTTCTCTCTCCCCTCGTACCTTCACCCCGAATTGCACCTGTGGAAGAGCCCACTCTAAAAATTGTATACACTTATACTATTTAAATACTACTATAATAGTATAATGTTACTATTAATTAACTCTATTAATTATACTATTTATTTACTATGTTTATGGTTTGTTCATTATTATTTATTTTTATCTGTATTTTAAATATATTTATATTGCACTATGAGCCCCGCAGAAAGCCTTTGGCTGTAGGGCAGCATCGAAATGTGATAGACAGACAGACAGATGGGTATTAGAGGCACTTTGCAAACCTTAGCATGAAACCCGGTGCCACACACCCTAAACTCGCCATTTAAGCCAGCGTGGCCCAAGGTAAGGCGGCTTCCTTCAATGACCTTCTCTGTCTTGTGGCAGCACTGAACTTAGAAATGATTCCTTTTCCCCGTGTGTCTTTCCCGAGATTTCATTTAGTGAGGGAAGGAGACAGACACGCAGCCCACCCTCCGCCCTTCACCACATCGCCACCGGATCCCAGTCTTTACACCACTTCACTGCGCACACATGTTGCCACGCGGGAGTTAAAGAAACTAGACGGGGAAGCATTCTGCATCTGCGAAAGGAGCCCCACACTGGCCTTCTCTGCCCAGCTTGCAGTCTGTCTGTCTCCTGGGTCCACGAGCTCTGAGGAAGGGCGCGCTGCCGGAGGAGGGGAGCTGCAGAACAACAATAAACTGTGATTTAATTTTCCAAGAAAATTACCGTCATGAAGTTCCCTCCAGCAAGGGGACGGGCAGGAGCGAGCACATCGGTCGGTGAGGTGCTCTGTACAGAGAAGGGAGCAGGTTCAGCTCGTGGCGGCTCCACGTACACCCGTGGTGGGTGGGAAGCCTGGGCTGAGCTCCAGCCGAGCTGCACGCCATCCCTGCAGACTGGACTGGATGACTCGCAGGCCACCCTTGGCCTGAGAGGCAAAGCACACACGTCCCAGTGAGAACAAGAATAGATCAGGAAGGGATCCGAAGAGAGGGAAATGCCGGTTGTGAGCTTCACAGTGGAAAGAATAGCCATTACCATCTTAGGGGGAGTGCTCCGTGCAAGATCGTTAAATCCAGCACCTGAAAGTACCCAACCGCACCGAAGGGCACCAAGCAGAGGGGTGGGCAGACCGGTGCCGAAGGACCCTGGCCCGCTTCTCCGCCAGAATCTTGCCTGGGCCAAGACAGTGGTGATGGGGAGAAGGGGGAGCTGCGGGTGCCCCAGTTCCATGCTCCCCAGCTCCCAGGACGAGAAAGAGAAAAAGCAAGCAGCACCGGAGCCACAGCTGCGGGCTCTTTTTCTGACTCTGCCCTCTTGCAGGGTGCTGCTGCTCCCCGGACGAGCACCGGCTGTATGAGGAGCTGTTTGCCAATTACAACAACATCATCAGGCCAGTGGAAAACGTGTCTGATCCGGTCATCATTTGGTTCGAGGTGTCCCTTTCCCAGTTGGTGAAGGTGGTGAGTAGAGTAAAGGCTGCCCTTGTCATGATTCGGGCTTGGATGTGCACTCATGAGCCCTCCCTTGGGGTACTTTGGGGGTGCTTTATAGGATGCCGCCATCCTTCAGAGTCTCTTCTTTGCAACCAACCCTGCAGCTTTTTCCAGATGGAGGAAACGAGGGTATTATACAGAAGAGGTGGGATGAAACACTGGTGTATTTACACACGTCTGCTGTGCCACAGTGCCACCTACTGGTTATGCAATGGAATAGATAATAAAGCAGAGAAAACACAACCCACCCACCCACCCCCAGAAATAAAGGAGCTGATCTCAATCCCGCAAAGACTCTGGAAGCAGAAGTCTCGGTGAAGTGATGGCTTACGAGTTTCATGCTAGGCTTCCCTACAACACATTTCCTACATGAAATTTTTATGGGTACTTCAATAATAAATCCCTCATGCAGAAAAGCTCTCAGTTTGCAGAATATCCATTTGTGCCTGGTCATCCATTAGCTCTCAAAATATAATGTTTTGGTTTCTGAGTGATGGAACCAACTAGTCCAGGGTAGCGCTCTTCCAGTCTGAAACAATGACCTGAGATCCATTTCAGATGAAGACAGGATATAAATGTTTCAAATAAATAAATAGACTCCCACCCACCCTCTTTTAAAGATGGTTTTGGCAGATGTGCAAAAACAGCAAGAGGGAGAAACTGCCCTGAAAGCAAAAATCCCATGAGAGATTTTCTTGGCCTGTTCAGCAACCCAACAGTGGGATGCAAGAAAAACTCACACACACCCATCCCACTTCATAAGGAAGCGTTTCAAACACAAGAATAATCTTTCTTTCCCCAGGACGAAGTGAACCAAATAATGGAGACCAATCTGTGGCTGAGACACGTAAGTTTTTCCACCCCTCGCAATTCGCCTGCAACAGAGAAGCCATCCAGGTCTTCACGATTAAGGTTTTCGTTTTTATATGTAGGGATGTGGGAGAAGCAGCGGAGATGAAGGGGAGCTGGGAGAGAAGAAAGCAAACTGAAAACACCTCGCAGCAAATCCTTAATGTCCTCTCCTCCTCTCTCTCTCTCCCCCCAAGCCCCCAGACCAAAACCTTGTATTCCAGACATTTTTCCAAGAAGGAAATCCTCACAGTTACAGCCTGAACACAAAGTGTAAGGCGGAGTTCGTTTCTCTTCTTAGGCACTTCTGACATCTGCTGGCCATCTTTGCATGACATGAAAGCACAGATGCTTGAGGCCCGAAGGGATTCTAGGGGCACCGGAGAGAGACTCTGGGTTGCAATCTCCTCATTGCACGCATTCACACACATCTGGAAGAAGTCGGAAATGAAGCAACTCCTAAGCTACAGCATTTTTTGCAAGCAAGTTCTCAGGCAGGGAATCACGTCCACCAAGGTCCCAGAAGAATGCAATCACCCATAATTCCTGCCCATATAATCGCACCCGACCTTGCTAGTGATCTGGAGCTGCTGGGAAAGGTGCAGCAGATACAAAACATTTATTTCCACTAGACACCACATCGTATAATCAAATCCCTGAACGGTTGTAGTAGCATTCGATTTTATCCCTCTTTCGGAGCTCCGGCAGCTGCCTCTCCATGAGGTTACGCCAACATGTGGCAAGTTTTTCAGGGCTGCTAAACAGCTGTTTGGTTGTTCGGCCCTTACTGCCAATGTGCTTGGATGTGGCTCTAGAGGAGGGGAATGCAGTGACTCCTGGCTTTTTGTGTCAAGAAAGGAGGAAAATTGCAGCCTCCAGGCACCCTGCCGGTGCTTCAGAAGACACTGCCCTTCCTTTGCAGTTTAGATATTTTCAAGGCTTCTTTGATGGCTCTCGCTGCGCTAAGCTTGTTTATCATGTTGTGTGTCTTGCCTCTTGTTATTTTTATTCTAACTTATTGTCTCAATAAACTGTTTGAAGAGCAGTGCAGGGTATGCATTCAAACAAGCTAACCTGCGAGGTGTTGGATGGCTTCCTCAGCAAAAGGTTTTGAAATATCACGGCCGGCAATGCGCAAGGTGTAATTTCCCCTGACATTTTTGTGTTAAGACGGGAAGGCATTGACCTTCCAAGCTGTTAAATGTCATCACAAAGGTGAGTCAACATTTCTACACATCCCAGCATTTCACCAGCCCTGTGCCAGGTGCCAGTTGCAGGCCAAAAAATAAACGAACACTAGAAACTTGTGCAAGGGGAGGAAATGGCTACTTAAGAGGCACAGGGTTTTGAGACTTCCAAATCAAAGTGCTGCTGGACTTTCCTTCTTCTTCTTTCATTAGATGTGGAACGATTACAAGCTCAAGTGGAATCCTGAGCAGTATGGAGGCGTCGAATGCATCCGCGTGCCATCGCAAAAGATCTGGAAACCAGACATCGTGTTATATAATAAGTAAGATGATAACATCCAATCTGCGCTGCATGCTCTTAGCTTTGCACGCAAGCCACGGTTGTCTTTGCTGCAAAACCTGGGATTTCTACCAGCTTTCCCCAGCCGGGTCTCACTGGCTGTTTGGGACAGCAGGTTCCCGGCATTCCTCCCCAGTGGCCATGCTGGCTGGGGCTGAGGGGAACTGTAGTCCAACCCATCTGGAGGGGGCTAGAATATGGAACTCTGGTTTCCTCTGCAGGGCAGTCGCTCACCACGATTTCGGGCAGCCTCGCAGCCGCAGACCATGCAACCCCTGTGATCCAACTCAAAGGTTTTTGCAGTGTTCCCAGGCCTACATCCATCAACTTCATTCCAAAAACTGATATAGTGCTAGGCAGGCACCATGTAAATGGCACAACAGCTCGCGGCAATGGGCTGTGCAAAAGTTAGGTGGGACGGGGGCACAACCGCTCGGGGAAGTGTGCCGTCACAACCCTGGAGTCCCGTCTCGCTCATAGTTCGGATCTCAGTTGGCCCAGCTCAGTGCAGCCCTGTGTGATGGACCTGCCCTGGTGACACGTCTGTAAAGCAGGTCACCCTTTTGAGCCCCCATTTGCACCTGGAAGGCTTGAGACTCTCCAAAGCTTGGCCTTCAGCTCCCATCATCCTCAGCTCCGCTGGCTAGGGCTGATTAGAGATGCAGGCCAAAGCATCTGGAGTCCAGCATGTCGCCCTCCCGCGAACGCATGAAGAGTATTTGACGAAATGACACACTTGCTGGTTTTTTCCAGTGCTGTTGGGGACTTCCAGGTGGACGACAAAACAAAGGCCTTGCTGAATTACACTGGAAACGTCACTTGGATGCCACCGGCTATATTTAAGAGCTCGTGCAAAATAGACGTGACCTACTTCCCCTTTGATTACCAGAACTGCACCATGAAGTTTGGCTCCTGGTCTTACGACAAAGCCGAGATCGACCTGGTCTTGGTCGGTTCCACCATGAACCTCAAGGAATACTGGGAAAGCGGAGAGTGGGCCATCATTAAAGCCCCGGGCTACAAGCACGACATCAAGTACAACTGCTGCGAAGCTGTCTACACGGATATCACCTATTCCCTTTACATCCGGCGGCTTCCCTTGTTCTACACCATCAACCTGATCATTCCCTGCCTGCTGATCTCCTTCTTAACTGTCTTGGTGTTTTACCTCCCTTCGGACTGCGGGGAGAAGGTCACCCTGTGCATATCCGTCCTCTTATCCTTGACCGTCTTCCTCCTGGTCATCACGGAGACCATTCCTTCCACCTCCCTGGTGATCCCGCTGATTGGGGAGTACCTGCTCTTCACCATGATCTTCGTCACCCTCTCCATCGTCATCACAGTGTTCGTGCTTAACGTGCACTACAGAACTCCCAGAACGCACACCATGCCCGCCTGGGTGAAAACCATCTTCTTAGGTGTGCTCCCGAGGATCATGTTTATGACCAGGCCGGTCAGCGAGGAAGAGGAGGACGAGGGCCTGAAGCCGAAGCCGCCCAGCAGCACTGAGATCCCCCGCTTCAACTGCTTTGGCGCCCCGGAAAAGCTGTGCCCCAAGGGCGACTTCCCATGCCAGGACGCCGTGTGCTGCTACTGCCAACACCAACACATACAATATATCAAAGTGAACGGCAACCTGACCCAGAGCTCCAGCTGCGAATCCGTAGATGCTCTCGTCTCGTCTTCGGTCATATCGTCGGAAATGAGAGATGCAATCGAGAGCGTTAAATACATCGCCGAAAACATGAGACTGCAGAACGAAGCCAAAGAGGTACGGGCAGGTCTTACTTGTTTTTCAAAGCGCGTACTTGTCCCCCTTCTCCAATTCAAGCCGCCATCTCGTTTCTTTGCAAAATAGCTCTTTCTTTCCGGTTCACGGCTAACAAACCGTAGCCACAAGAAGTCTCTGTGCATGAACAAAGTGGATTGTTGAGGACAAACCGGAATGGCAGACCTAATATACCAGTAGTATAGCACAACTTTCCGCAGCGGAATACCAGAAAAATGCCTCTGATTTGTGGTGCTGTTACATACAGTACTATTCGGGCATTTTTATTTTTTTCTTAGAAGTACAAAATGTTCAAATAATCTTTCCACACAAGGGTTGGTGAAGAGATACGGGGAGTTGCAGGATCAGGTTTGCAAATATGTTTTTAAACTAAGTATGCTTAAAATGATCATTTTTGTCTGCTTTTTCCCCAGACTCAAGATGACTGGAAGTACGTTGCCATGGTGATTGACCGGATCTTCCTGTGGGTGTTTATTCTTGTATGCATTCTGGGGACGGCTGGTTTATTTTTGCAACCATTGATGGTTGGAGATGACGTGTAGATAACATTGCTGTGTAAAAGCGCATTCTTGTTCACAATCCACATGTCTTAAATGCTCTCCCTTTGCATTAAAATACATATTTCTCATCTTTGTGTAGTGAACTAAGAATATCCAAACATTAATTAACTAAATTCAGCCACTTCTGATATAAACCTGAAAAAACAGTGTTGAATTATTCTGAAGTAATGAATGAAGCTGAAGTATTTTAATTTCCAGAGACACAGTCTTCTAGAAGTTAATATAACATTTCAGTTTCTGCGTTTAAAGGGTTTGTAACGAGTGGTGTTTAGGCTGGACACGAAAGTGACAAGGATTTCCACGACGGAAAAGTTTGTCCTGACAACTCAAGCCAGGTCATCGCATGATTATAGCAATGAGGGTCATTGCAACAACGCCAAGAAAGTCGCAATATTCAGACGTTGTTCTATTGTCTACAAAGCAGCAAAAATACGTGAAGAGGAGTTACAGAAGAGGCGGATAGGGGCTAGCTATTTGTACAGCATCTGGGAGACTGTTCAGCCCCCACGGCCCTGAAATAATTTGATCCTAAATGCTATTATTTTAGCAGCCATTTGCCAGAACAGTTTAGAACTTGGCTGGCACTTAGCAAACAAAGGTTTTAGGATATATGCAACACAGGGCACTGTTTTAATGACAGCAGTAAAAAGATACTCCACTCACTAATCTGGCCACAAAGGGATCCTGACCTAAGCCATCCACAGAAATGGCAACGCCAGTGGAATGGGAACCTTTTTGACTTGTTACTGGCCAACACTGGAGCACCTGCAATGAAATATAGTTTTTTTTATACGGGTATGGAATAGTCTAAGTTTATTCCTAATTTGCACCATCTTTTTTTTTTAATCCCAGTTGTTGCTCTCAAGATTGTACTTTTTTGCCCTATTTCTGCCAGTCACGTACAACAGACTGAGGGTGCAGGAAGTTCTTTGTCTAAGTGGAGTAGCCCAGTCATGTTTGCCATTTTAAAAACACGTGAGCAATTAAGCCCTTCCATTCTAGAGAAGAAAGCAGTGTGTCATGTTGAAAGGACTTCAGGGAAACGCCGAAGTCTGTTTTCAGCTCAGAATTTAGCACTGTCATGATTGAGCCTTCATGGTTAGAAACAGTAATTTTGTTAATGGCTAAAAATGCAATAAAATATTTGCATCGATCATCTAGAGAAGCCCAAAGGAGATCCCCGTAAGTCAAACTGAAGCAGCAAGGATAATAAGCCCAAGTATTGCAAAGATTTTCAATATGCAAAAGAGGTTTAAGTCATAAACTGCAGTATTCTCCTACTTATAAAGAAAATAATCAGGATTGTTATCGGTAAGGTCTCTGTGTTTTATTACCCTGGAATTGTCAAGAGCTGGCTGGAGCCAGGGGTCAGACTAGATGGTCTTCTGAGCCACTATGTTTCTAGGATAAGACTTCGTGGGGTAAGGTGACACGCAGGACAGGTACATGAGGGGGTGTCACACAGGTGGGTAGAGACCTGTTCTCCCCTGCAGAGGAAGCCAGGGCGCGCACCAACGGAGCCAAGCTCAGGGAACCAAGGTTCAATTTGGATGCCAGGAAGCACTTCCTGACAGTCAGGACCCCGAGGGTGTGGAATGGGCTTCCACGGGAGGTCGCTGAGGCCCCATCGGTGTGGGTGTTTAAGGACAGGCTGGATGTGCACATGGTGGGCATGTCGTGAGCGGAGCCGGCTGGAGCCGGGGGTCAGACTAGATGGCCCAAGAGACCCCTTCCTACTCGCTCTGTTTCTAGGATAAGACTTAGTGGGATAATTAAAGGAGATAATTAAAGACACAGCACTACGTTGAACCCACTGTTCCCAGGCTCTTCCAGTCTATAACGTAAACACAGAAAAGGCATTAAGCTGGTGAAGGATGAACTCTGCATTTATATGTCTCAACTTAGGCTTAGTTCCAGTAGGAGGTGGGGGATTAAGGCGCTGTGCCAGGCATGTGAAGGGAAAGGTGAATTTCAGGAGGGATGTGAAGGAAGGGAGGAAGGAAGGAAGGAAGGAAGGGGGAGGTGGGGGAGATACTTCCAAGATTTTGGCAATTTTTTTTTCTGCTTGGTGCATTGCAGTAGTCAAGAGAGAAATGAAAATAGATTGGGGGCAGCCCAGAAAATAGAAACGAGACTGAGAGAACATAAATCCACCGTGTAGCCGAATATACAACCTGAGTGCTGAGCTTCCTATCTTGAAGAAGTTGAACATAATGAAACAGGAACATGGACTGACCTTCCCGCTAGGAACCAATAATCTCAATTCTTTATATAAAAAGGCAGATTTGCAGGGGAATGATGGGTATTTAAATTATAAGCAGTGGAGGGAAATGAATAAGAATGCTTAATTAACCCAGTTTGCAATAGTTGTTTAGTAAAGATGTATTATACAATTGAAAAATTCGGATTTAATTATCTTTTTCCTGACTGTACTAATAAAACAGAAGCATCAGATGCAAGATTTGGTTTATTTTCATTAATAGAGAACAACCTCAAAGTGCATTAATGTAGCCGGTAAACTGCAAAATCATTTTTAGAACCCCTTCACGTTAAAGCTAGATCTTTCCAGATATTTTTGAAAAAGCCCTCTGCTCACAAGACGATAGAGCTTCCAGGGACCAAGTACGAGTCATCTTGTACCAGCAACGAGCCTGATTTTTTTTTACTTACTACAAACCATACTCAACATTAGAATTTTTCAACTTTGTAAACTCTCTCTAAAGTGCATTTAAATAGCATTACAGTCACGTGCTCCTTTATTGTAACACGTATCCTGGCTTTTTTCCTTCAAAGAACTCAAGGTGCTTACATAAAACAGCCTCTCCCCTAAAACTTATCCTCACAACAACCCTGTGAGGTAGGCTGGGCTGAGAGTCAGTGACTGGCCCAAAATCACCCAGCGAGTGTTGTGGCTGAATGGGGACTAAAACACAGATCTCCTGGATCCCAGATTTTTTTTGCGGGGGGAAGTTTTGTTTTGTTAGTATTTTCTTGAAAGTCCTGCTTTGCTTCCCAAAAGCAGGGACGGAAAATAACTGTGCAAATGATTAGTCGGTTCACATGTTCGGTTTCACTTTGGCTGAAGGAGGGATCTTGCTCTAGGACTTTACAAGTTGTGAATGGCAAATCAAACAGAAAGGCATTTGCTTTAATCAAACCCCTGTCCTCTCGGCCTCCCACTGGGATAAAAATACTGGCCAGCCCTAAAGGAACCTTGGAAAGCATTACTGAGATAGCATATAAAGCAATGCCATTTTCCTAACTTTTCTGCATTGCCTTAATAGTTTTACCAAAGGGCACCCTAGAAAGCTCTAATTTTAAAATGCCGCATTATTGTCGTTATTACAACATTTGGCACAGCTTTGATTCTATGAACTGCTGCACACACACACTGCAAACTGTTCTGAGAACTCGTCTAAGAGAAAGGTAGAGAAATACCTTAAATAAATACATACGTACTTAGGGCTGCATCCAACAGTGTGACTCTGCTAGTGTAAATGATGTTACGCTAATGGAAGCGAGACTCCGATCTATGCACGGGAAGAAAATCAAGCTAAAATTACACTTGCGCAAGCCAGTTGCACAAGCTTAATGCATAACAGAAAAAGTCGGTGTTGCTCGTGAAATGGAAATGACACGTTTAGATTTTGCAGGATTTAGGACACACGGATGACAAGCAGGTGAGTTCTGATCTCCAAATAGGAATACAAGGAACTAACACCCCCCAAAAATATCCTACTTGTGTCCTAAGCTATCCATGCTTAACTCCAGGCACAAATGCCTGCTCCCAACTCCATTCCTTCAGATATTTCATAGTTAGATATTAAAGTGTGCCAGGTAATTTCTCCGCTACGGCTGAGATGAATACTCCTAGATAGATGGAGACGACCGAACCCCTACCTGTGCTTTATTAATTAACACTTCCAATATGGACTGGGACGGTGATGCTTGCCCATTTATGAATGACAGGAATAAACAGTGCCAGAGAACCAATAATGGAAACCAGAAGGAACGTCCATAAGAAAACTCGATCAAGCACCAGGGCTATAAATTTCCAGTCCTCAACAACCTAAAGAGAAAAGAGAAGAAAAGTTAATGCATTTTCTGAAGCACAAAATATATAGTTGTTATTTGTTATCATCATCAAAAAAATGAGCTTTGCTGCTTGCTTAGTACGGAGGAGCTAAATGATAAGTTGCGGACAAATTCCAATGGAAAAGCTGTCAGGAGTTTTTGCTCGTAGATTTCCAGGTGGTCAAAAGAACTTGCTTTATTTTGTGTGTTTCAATATGCCACGAACTGAGGACGTGTGCCATACATTGAGAAAACAAATAATTAGGCTGCTTTCAAAGAAGTTAAACACACCATATCCTGGGATGGGACAGGAGAAGAAAAACATGTTCTGGTCTCTGTTACCACCCAGGGAATTAAGGCTGCCTCTCCTGAATTGCAAGAGCAAGATCGAGCCAAGAGAGGGACTGATCTGGGCATCTCTGTGCCAAAAGGAACGCCAGCTCCAGCCGGCAGCTGCTCGGCCCTGCAAGAACAAGGGGGAAGAGCACACAGGCCCACCCACCGGCGAGAAGCACAAGAGCCACAAGCAGGAACAAGATCGCCTTGGCCCGAAGTCCATTTCGACGCCCGCTTACAGTTTCAGCTTTGCAAACTGATTTCTGGGACAAACGGATGGTGTGAAAAGCAAGATCAACACTCAGGGTTTTTCAGGCAACCCAAAGAGAGCCTTACTCTTGCATCCTGGAGCATGCCGTTGAGCACACATTCTGGTATTGTTTTGCCCTTGATCCTTCAAAGCATCGGAGATTTCTATTGTTAGGTTTTTAGCAGTACCACAATGGCAAAGGAGACAGGACAGTGGCAGTTGGGAAAAGAATTGTCCATTGTTCAGGGCACTCCAGCCACCTCCCTGTCCAAAGTAGCTCAAGTTTGCCCCCAACTGGTTTCAGAGGCCTTTAGCTGCCACTGGCCAATTGTTTTCAGGGAAAAGCTTGAAATCGCAAGGGCCAAAAACCGGCCGTTATTTATTTATTAGATTTATATCCCGCTTTTCCCTACCCCAAACTCAAAGCGGCTTACATCAATTTCCTCCTCGTGCACTTAATTTTATCCCCACAACACCCCCCCTGTGAGGTAGGCTGGTCTGAGTGTCTGTGACTGGCCCAAAGTCAAGGGACTAGAACCCGGATCTCCTGAGTCCCAGTCCCACGCTCTTCGCCACTGCACCACGGTAGCTCTTAACTCTAACTTTTAATCTCCAATAAAAAATGCTAGAACACGAAGGTCAGTGCCTGGTATACTACCTGGGAACCTTGTTGTACACACCTTTATAACAAGGGAACAAGGAGGCTACCCCTCAAACAAAGATCATCTCAAATATTTCCAAACCAGTATGGAAACCCAAGAGTAGTTCATTTCCACCGATGCCTTAATCCAAAACTCCACTTTTGAAATGTGGGGATAACAGCACTGCTCTGCCCTGAACAGGAACACTAAGAAAATGGTACATTTTGAGCAGCAGAATTTACTATATTCATGCTATTATAATGTACAAAAAGGGGCGTGTGGATTTTTTTTTTTTTAAGAGAAATTGGATGTTTGCTTTTTTTAACGGCTGACTCTCTGCAATGCAGACTGGCAATGGATAGAAATGCTGACTAATGTTCCCAACTACTTTTAGGGAAGGGCTACTGCTTCCTGGTAGGGAATGCGCTTTGGCAAAGAATCCAGGCTCGGCCCCACATGCATCTCTCTGGCGAGCTGGGAAAGATTCCTGCCTCACACCCAGACAGTCACTGCCACATGGTACCGGGGGAAGCAAACCTTTTTCCTGATTCACATCTTTACACATTTCAGTTCGAATTCAGAGCAAGGGTGCCCATTTATGCAAATGGTTCCTTCTTTTTCTCCATTTTCAGCCTATTAGTGCCAGTCCTACACAGAAAAAAGGCATCGCCCATGCTCAAAGGGATGGTCACAGCTGGCTTGGGGGAACGTCAAGGCTTGCAGAAATAGAGAATTTTTCCGGATCTGCTCCCCAGGGAGGGAGGGAGGGAGCCTGAAATCTTCCCCTGGGGTGCTGAGTGGGCTCAGTAACCATGAAATCCTGGCAAGGGGGAGGGAACTGTTGGGCGGGGGGAGGAAAAAGAGTGGCAGTTGTATATCGCACTGCAACATTTTGTTAGAGGGTCTACAGGGAATAATCCATTTCTAAAAACAAAAACCTCTGCGTCGTTAGTTATTTGCCCTTATAAAATGTCAGTCAACATGCTGTGACTTGCTTATGAAAGAGGATGAAACATTTCTACACATCTGGATTCAGGAATTGGGGAATGACCTGACAGCACCAGAGATGGATGATGGAAAGTCTCCTACTGTTGGATCATTGACCCAATGGATAGAAACTATGTGCAACCCAATCTTTAGCATGTATACTCAGAACCACATGGATGGACGTTTCTAAAGCCTAGATGAAGAACGCAGAATTTCCATTCTGGCTTGGCCACGGTAGAAGCAACACTACAGAATGGTTCTCCTGGAAAGCAGCTTTACAACGTAGAGACTGCAGGGTCCGAGCAAGTGAGCGCGACACAAAACAATGGAGATTTTGCTTCCATTCCGCCACGCCGTCGCGCGCGCTGCGATCCCAGCTCGCCACGTCCGCAGCCGAAGACGATGGGTCTACGGAACACACCTCACGTACTTCATTCTCCTTCACGATGTGCCTCGTGATGTACCGGATGGAATTCAAGGCTGCTTCCAGAGTATTCCTAGAGGGCTCCTCCTCGGATCCGGCGGGATTCGGGGGGTCCTCCTCCGGAGCGAAGTACCGATCCACGTGGCTTCGCATGCACAGCAGCTTCGGCAGCTTGTGCAGAAATATCTTGCGAACCCAGGGCGACATCACGTTGTGTGTCGACGAGGACCGGTGATGGACGTTGATCGCGAAGACCGTGATCACAATCGAGAGCGTCACGAAAATCATGGTGAAGACCAGATACTCGCCGATCAGGGGAATGACTTTAGAAGACGATGGTATGATTTCTTCGATGACAAGGAGGAAGACGGTTAAGGATACCAGCACGGAGGTGCACAGAGAGATCTTCTCTCCTTCGTAAGAGGGAAGATAGAAGACGAGGACAGTCAGGAACGAGAGGCCTATGCAAGGGATGATGAGGAACAGGGTATAAAAGAGTGGCAGGCGCCGGATGATGAACGAGTAGGTGATGAACGGGTACCAGCAGCATCCGTCGGTCCGGTTCCCCCTGACCCCCGTGGCGGCCGCGATTTCCCATTCGCCATTGTCAAAGAAGTCTCTCTTATCAACTTCTTCATCTACCAGAATTATATCGACTTGCGAGCCGTCGTACGTCCAGGAGCCGAATTTCATGGTGCAGTTTTGGAGGTCAAATGGAAAATAAGTGACATCTATAGTACAGGAGCTTTTGTAATTCGCCGGAGGGCTCCAAGCAACCGTGCCGTCGTGTTTCACTACGGTTTTTGTAGATGTTCCTTCAAAGCGACCATCTGCACTGAAAGAACACGCAGTGGAGGGTTATTAAATACAGAACGGGCTGCTTTCTATAAATAGCCTGCCACAAAGAGCTTGGATTGTATTAAATTATTTCCACTTTACAGTTTAATCAGTTATTTTCGGATGTTTGCTGTGACCTTCTTAACTTTTAATGATTTCATGTACTTTTATCCTTCTCAAGTGGAAAGATGTTTTGCAAGTAATACCGCCAGCCTTTTTGCAGTAGCATAAATATTCTAACAATGAAAAATGGAGCAATTTTAGCTCTTTCTGTCGCACAGAGATGTTCCTAATAAGTTGGGTCTAATGCACTAGCGAAAGCATGATTTGGGGGAAGTTTGGGGGCTGGGGAAGCCATAGGGAACATCACGGCCTGGCCTCTCCAGTCCCGTCCACCTGCATGCCAGGTAGGAACCCCCGAGGACTTCCAAGGACACTTCTCCAACCTTCAGAGTAGCAAAGCCTTAAAAAAAACCCTTATGGTTCCTGCAACACATTCCTGAAACCATAAGGACTGTTTTTGTATTTGTCTTGAAATCTATGTTTTCCACTAATACAGTTTTACAGGCAAAATTTCACACTGGAGAGAAAAACCATTAGTATGCCTCAACTGATAATTCTTGGAACCCAATTTTACCCACTTTTTTCCCCTGCTAATGTATTAAAATAAAATATATTTAAATTATCTGATTTCCTGCAAGTTGGGGGATGGTAATAATTATTATGCAGAAACACACTGAACGCTTACTTGTCATATAGAACAATGTCTGGAATCCATATTGACTCTGAAGGGACACGGATAGATGTTATTCCAGCATAATCTTTAGGATCCCATTTCAGTTTTACATCAACCCATTCCTACAGTAAGATAAAGCTTTTTTTAAAAAACAAGGCAGTTTCTCCTAATTTAGAAACAGTTAACCTGAAACAGCTAATCTAAAAGATAACAAGTAAAATGTCCAAAAGGAATTTACTTAGCAAACAAACATATTCCTGTCACACAGTCAAAAGAGGACAGGTGGAATTTTAACAGACTTCATAACGCTAAATTCTTCTGTGACTTCAAATTTTGTAATAGAATTAGACACTTTCGTGCAATTTAAAATGAAAAAGGTAATATAAACAATTTGATTCAATAATCTATTTGATGATCAGATATATGGCCTCATTCTTACGTATACAGATGATTTATTTGGTAGATTTCTATCCCACCTTTTCCTTTTTAAAGCAACTTATCTCATTCTCCTCTGGCTGCTCTTGACTTTATCTACCCCCACAACAGCCCTGTGAGGTAGGCTGGGCTGAGAGTCTGTGCCTGGCCCAAAGCCACCCAGCTGGCTCCATGGCCGAGCGGGGACTCGAACCCGGGTCACCTGAGTCCCAGGCCCGCGCTCTTAACCACCGTACTACGCTGGCTCTGTGTTGCTTTAATGGAAACTGAACATACAGTTCAGATACATCAGAAGAATTTGCTGCAGTCTCTACACTACTTCCTTTACCTGGCAAAAGTACACCTGCCTCCTGAGAAGAAAGGCTTGCTGAATTCACTGGGACTTACTCCTTGGTAAACACGGGCAGGATTGAGCCTTAGCAAGGAGGGTGCCCTCCAAGGGAAAGAGGGCCCCGAATCGTCCATTTCAATCTCTCTCCCGACACGAGGGAGCATCACAGTCAACCTGGACTGCACTGCATGACACTCACCTGCTTCAACCAAACATTTGTCGTCATCAACTGGTTTTTCTCATCCTGTTGGGAGAAAAAGCGTTGCATGCGTGACGTGTCATTTTACAAGCTTCGCCCATTTCCAGACTGTCGCTCGCAACGTACAGCATATATTTTGCAGCTGCTACCTGGGACTACTTCCGGTTTGAGGACGAGGGTGTAATGCACTGTGTGGACCTCCTCCTCCTCCTCCTCCTCCTCTGGTGCCCCCACCAGCTTACCACGAGGGAGGGCTGGATGCCTTCATCTGACACCATGATTTCCTGCCATGCCTTTGCAGGAAATCCCTATCTTGTCTCCAGGCCACTCAGCATCCCACGTGCCAGATCAGGGCATCATCCAGCAGGTGTTCGAAATGGGTCCTGCTGCAACGCCAGAGCCCGAGCAGGTGCCCAAGAATTCCAGGTATTGATGCTGATCCTGGTTGCCTAAAAGGAACTACCTCGACTGAAGGACAAAGGTCTCCTTGGGCACTTCTAACCATACAGTATATTCGTATACTGTGTGAACTGATGCAGCATTAAATAGGACTGGATAGTGCATTCCTCATGCAATTGCAAAGTGGGGTGTCCAGCATAGGACTTCTGGGTGGCGGTGTATAAATTTAATTAATACATACACGCATGCATAAAGGAAGTGGCCAGGGACTGTCAGACAACCCCGGGTACCCACTCCCTGCTCCATGGAGCTGTGGGGTTCTTTGCTTGTGAAGCAGAGACTCCAAAGTGGTGGGCTTCAGACCATCACCTACTTTATGCTAAAACGTCTAATTAAAAGCCAGACAAGCAGAAGACGCTTCGAACGTACCACGTCCACCAGCTGAGTAATCGCAAGGCCAAACTTCACCTTGATCGTGTCATTCAAGCGTTCCACCGGTCGAACCCATCTTTCGTAATCTTCAAATAGGTGTTTAAACAAACGGTCTTCACTTTTAGCAATAAAAGAAGGTTCTGAAGTACCTGCATAAAGGGCAAAAGGGATAATGAAGCTACATGTCAAAAAAATTCTATGCATTCTTGTAATTGGCACTGTAAAGATTTTAGAGAGGAAGAATGAGAGGCAGGAAAGAAGGCAGGAAAGAAGGCAGGACGTCACTCAGAATATTATTATACTTCTTGAGCTTATACATTTGCGATGTCTGAAAAAGGTTTGGCCAGAAATTAAGCACCGTGGAAAACAGGCAGAGTCCTGCAGAAATCGTTGCTTCTTCTGTCCCCCCGTACATGAGCAGGAAAGGCAACACAACCATTTCTAGTCTCTTCTGCAGATTTTGCTCTCAGCTCAGTATCGACAAAGTAGAATCATAACGCAGTGGAGGTCATGCTCAAGGCCCTCAGGATCCTGCACTTCAGCACATGCTCATGGCGGTGGAATGAATCTGCCTACGATACAAACCGGGGCGTTTGTTCCAGCAATGTACCCCGAAGGCGCCCCCCAGCACCGTGGCGATTACCTCTGCCACCAGAAACCAAGCACCTGGCTGCGTGCCACGGCAGTCACGTCCCCCCCAAGCCACCAAATTAGCCGGGCTAAAATGGAAGCGTGCAGATGCAAGTGTGAAGATAACCGGGAGAGACACGTCCGGTGGCAGGATGCACCCAGGAGGCGAGAGAGCATCGCACGGCTGCTGGAGGGGTGGGAGGCGCCAGACAGAAAGAGAGTCAAGCAGCATCTTCTCAGCCTAAAAGGTCTCCCCGTACTGTTTCGCCTCGCCAGTTCCAGCAGCAGCCACCGAAATGACTCTGACTCCACGGAAGGTCCGCAGATTCTCCTTCTGGGTTAATACGGTTATTTTCCAACTCCCAGTGGGAGTGACAGGAGGAGCTAGTCTGGTTCTCACGCACTTCCTTTGGCTGACAGCTGAATATATGTGCAAACGGCAGGGATTGCCGGTGAGATGTGGTTGCACAATATGAAAATTCCAAGATATCAGATGTGAGCGAGTGAATGGCTGCTTAACGGTCTGGTAAATTGGTGATAACGTGCTTATAGGGCCAATGCTGCGCCGGCCGGCCTCCGCTTTTCTAGACAAAGCCTACCTTAAGCAATTTGCCTCCCTTGGCTAAACAGGCTTGATAAAGGAGAGAATTTTAAAAAGGGAAAAGATATCTATTTTGTGCAGCCCAAAAAGGTAACATGCATTTCTCCTGTTGCTTGCTGGATTGTCCCACCCAAGTTCTAGCAACGGGGATTATAAACAGAATAAACGCAACACTGAGCTGGAGAAATGCAAGGATAAGGTAGCATAAACTGGCAATGCAGTGTGTGTTTTGTGCCGGCTGTTGTAGCTCTCCGTACATTTCTGTTAAAAAACTTTTGCTCCATATGGAACTTCATGACTGAACGACAGCATTACCATTTTTTACCTCAGCGTTTTAATCAGTCACTCTTCCGAAGAGCTGAAGGAAGCATGTGAGGATAAAATGAGAGCCCGTCATGGCCGCCTGGTCCAGGAGCTTCGGCCAAGACATCAACTTGCCCAAAGCTAGCCAGTGAGATTTGGGGCTGAGAAAAGCTGGACTATAGGTTCCCAACATCCAAAGCCCAAATTAGAGCCACTAGTCCCTATGGATATGGATCGAAGACATGCCAGTTCTCCTCTCTATTTTTATTTCCATCTCAGTCAACCTCAACTCCGGCATTAAGCAGTGGGCAACATTATTTATATTATATTGTATTTTGGAATTTTATTTGTGTAAGCTGTCCTGAGGCTCTCGCAAAGGGCAGCATACAAATATCTTAAATTAATAATAAATAAATGATCCTAATGATGATGAAATTGGTGAGACTGAGCTATATTCCCAGAGGGTGGCCTGAAGGCACAACAGCGGGAAGCTGAGCAGGTTTGGGGCTGGGTGGAACTTGGAGGGGAGGCCACCTGGGAACAGCGTGTCGCCACCCCGAGTTGCACAATGGGAGGGAGGTGGGATAGAAATAGCATAAGCAAATAAATAGGAGACCACGCCAGTTAGGGTATCCAGAAAGTTCCTAGCCTATATGTAACACCAATTCCCAGCATGGTTCCGTCTTCTCTCCATCCCATGCAGAGGTTAAGCACACAGTGGGAAACCGGCACAGCGCTAAATGAGACAGTTTGGAGCCACAGGTTTAGAAAATGTGGCAGCTGACATCACGACATTCTGCCAAAGTCAGCTCGCATGAAAAATTTATCACAGCAGTCTCCAAACTGCTAGGAAACTTCAAAGATGAAGCAAAAAGGTTGGTGCAAACAGCAGCTTGCAGACAGAAGCTGGATCTATCACCTGGAAGTTGCAAGCTTCACAACAATCCAGTGAGGAATCAGGTCGTTTGATGAATGCAATTGGCTATACCAGCCACCTGCACGAGGGTGACCTCAGATGACGAGTTTAACGGAGCAGAGCAAGGCTTCCTCCTGCATTATTTGGAAAGTGCTTAGCATTTTGCAGACATAAATGCAGGTGAGCTAATTACTCTGCTTGCAGCCTGGTCAGCTGCCTAGCCATGTTACTGGCAGTAACAATAATGCTCCCGACAGCCACTGAAGAAGAGGGTCCTTTGTGGATTCCTCCAGCCATCTGCGAACAAGACCAGAACACACGCTGAAGCAAACCAGGCTGATCCTACACAGGTTGACTCACAAGTCAGTGCCACTAAATTCACAGGGCTTCGTTCCCAGTGCAAGCACAGGGAGACAGCCTACAATGAAAAAATGTAAAATCATTAAACTGAAACAGCTGACTTCTCACCTCTGGGTCCAGAAATCAGAATCACAGCACCCAATGTTAGGAGAAAGGATGCAAGGACCGCACGATCCGTGAAAAACTAGAAGGAAAAGCTAGAATGTGATGGAGAGAGAAAAGGAGGAGGCATTGTGGAAAGCCAAGACAGAGGGTTCCAACACTGGTGAATATCACATTGACAGAGTTTGTTCCGTGGATTTATGGAGAGAAATACGAATTGGCAATTTATGCAAATATACATGCAGATTAGGCATAGCCTCTGGGCTCCTGGGAAGTTGCAGATGCAGCTTCCTGATGCTGCAGAATTCAGTGTGTAGGTACATTTTGTCTGTAGTTGCTTTGTGTTGTAAGGACTAATTTCCCGAGCCAGTTCCAGTTAGACAGCAGAGTATTTCCAAACACTTCCAGTGTAAAAGCATCATGCTAGCTTGTGCTATGTCATATTGGCACAAGTGCTTTAATTCCTGGAGTTATATAAGAACCTGCTACCTAATTCCTCTGTATTAGGGAGTGACACCTTCTTGCCCTACTCTGAATCTCTTGTCTTGAGGACAAATAGCTGCAGAGAAAGAGGGGTAAGAGAAGGACAAGCTGCATTGCTGATGCTTAAAGTGAAGCAGTTAATAAACTGTGTTTATAGCAGTTGATTTGTGAAGTGATTCTGCAGCATCCACACAAGTAATCCCCCTTGTAGATTATTTTGCAGCTTCAACCAGCTTGCACCCCAAGCCTGTGCTTACTCAGTTGAAATTAAATCACACTGTGTTTCATGACACTGTGTCTCAAACAAATGTGTACAGGATTGCCACCTAAATTTAACAGCATTAATGTTCCTTTTTTTAAAAAAAATAATAATTCAAAGGCATTTTTGCTTTGTGACGTACCAAGCAGTTTCTTCTTAGCACTTATTAGCATGTTAGGTCATTAACCTTTTCCTTAGTGTTTCATATTTGAACCCTTTTCAGAGCAGAAAATACCGAGCAAATTTGTTCATTCTCACACATACTTAATAGCTATATTAAAATGAAGGAACAGAAGCTGAAACATTCAGCCTCATTCAGTTCATGCCTGAACAGATTACTGAAGAATGAAGTAGCTAGTCCACATGACCACACCAAGGGTCAGCGCAGTGAAGCACGAACATTCTGTTGTCTTGGTTTCTAAAACAATTATTTAAACTGACTGATGAAACCAAATTAGTGATTCGAACCAGTCTCTCTAGTCTAAGAGATGCCCACTAATTTTAAGAACAAAACGTGATTCTTTAAGTTCACAACCGACTGTGTGCAGTGGGCCAGTTTGATACATCTGTCCTTGAGGCACTGGAACACGAATATCACTGGAAGAATCATTGCACCCTTCCATGTACTTCTGCTGAAATTCAGAATCTGTCCAGGTCTGCGTTATTTAAGATTAAGGTGTCAATTGTCAGTTCAATTCAGTGTTCTCCCTTTACTCGTTTTATTTGGATTAACTTTCACTTCATAGCAATCACTTAAACAGAAGAAGTTTCAGGTGAGTATTTTCATAATATCCCCTAAACTCAGGGACATTTTAATAATCTAACGCTCCTCCAGTTTAGCCATTAATCCAAGTAATTACTTTTTGTTTTTCAATACCTGCCTTAAGCACACCAAGTGGCTCAAAAGCAAACTTTTCATCAAGCTGAAATGCAGGAAACTCAAGCTGCAATTTTGTCTGTATTTATCTGTGAGTAAGCACCACTAAATACATCATGACTTACTTCAGAGTAACCCTGCACAGAACTGACCTGTTATAAGAAACGTGCATCTTGTCCTTTGACTTAACACTTCTGTTTCTCTTTTGCTGCATAATGCATGCTGCAAGCTAACAAGCAGGATTTTCCATAGCACTGACTTAGGAAAGACTAACCTTCCAGAACCAAACAAAGCAGAATTGTTTCCCTGGGAAGAAGCATCAAAACATTAAAGTTTGTTTGTAACATAAAAGCAAGATGTGCGACTAAGCAAGCAAATACTACAATTCAGCTGTGAAAAATAAATAATACATTAAAAACTAAACGATACTCTATATGGCAAGAATAAAATTGCCTGGCTATGTTTAACCAGATAAGGAGAGAGCATAAATTTGTGTAAGGTACAGGGAAAATTCACTATATAAACATATATTAATATAATGGGTTAACAGCATATTTGAAAGACTCAGCTTTCTCAGAACACTCCAATGTTCTTTCTGCAGAACTGCAAATCTGTTTAACCTGGTTCTGTCAAAAGCATTTTCATGTTTTAATAAAAAGGGTCTAAAGACTTT